CCTGCTTCTCCCTCTCCCACTCCCCCTGCTCGTGTTCCCTCTCTTGCTGTGTCTCTCTCTGTCAAATAAATAAATAAAATCTTAAAAAAAAAAAGATGCCTGTGTCTAGCTAAACTTGAAATAGGCAGTGTACGAAGTACTAGAGCTTGGGATAATTGATACTAACTAGTATCTACTGGATATTAACAACAACAAATATTTATTGGCTACCTGCCATGTGTCAGGCACTTGGAAAAGTGCTTTCCATTTATTAACTTGGTAACTCCCCCAGTGATACACACACCCCGATGTTTATAGCAGCATTATCAGTAACAGCCAAATTATGGAAAGAGCCCAAATGTCCATTGATTAATGAATGGATAAAGAAGAGGTGGTATATAGTATATTGATACAATGGAATATTAGTCAGCCATAAAAAGAAAGAAATCTTGCCATTTGCAACTATGTGGATGGAGCCAGAGTGTATTATGCTAAGCGAAATAAATCCAGCAGAGAAAGACAAATACCGTATAATTCCACTCATATGTGGAATTTAAGAAAGAAAACAGATGAACATAGGGGAAAAAACAAAGAGAGGCAAACCATAAAACAGACCCTTAACTATAGCGAACAAACTAAGGGTTGACAGAGGGAGGTGGGCAGGGGAATGGGTTAAATGGGTGATGGGTATTAAGGAGGGCACTTGTTGTGACAAGCACTGGGTGTTACATGTAAGTGATGAATCACTAAATTCTACTCCTGAAACTAATATTACACTACATGTTACCTGTAAAACAGTGATAATGACAGTCACCAACCTCATAGAATTGTTGGGAGAGTTAGATTTGGGTAATGCATGTAAAACACTCATTATTATGTCTATTTTACAAATGAGTGTTAGATAACATGCCCAAAGTCACACAGTGAGTATCAGAGGAAGGATTTAAAGACAGATCTGTCTAACTTCAATGTCGTAGCTAAAGCCATAGGGAAGGTAATGTTCCCCAGAAGACATTCCGGGAAGGCAAGGAGGCCAAGCCAGAAACTTGGAGAATACCAATATTTAATGCAGAAGATGAAGAGCCCATAATGGATGGGAGGGAGGGGAGAGGAATAGGGAGATACAAAAAAAAAAAAAAAACCAAACAAACAAAAAACCATGACAATTCAGAGTTCTGAGGAGAAAGATTAAGATAAGCACCAAGAAATAATCCACTGATAGAGCAATGAGGAGATGGCTGGAGAGAGAGAACTGGAAACCAGACCTTGGTATGTGTGACTATTGAAGGTAAAGAAATAATAATGATTGTAGCCTATCCTTTTAAGCAGTCTGGCTATTAAAAGAAGGATATAAGAGTAGTGACTACAAGAATATACAGGATTGAAAAGTTATTTTTCTTTCCTTTGTGAAAATGAGAGTAATTTAAGCACATTTATATTCTAAGGGGAAAAAGCCTGTCAAAAGGTTGAAGACTCAGAAGACAGGATATTTGATAAGCAAGGTCTCTGAAGAACCTGTAGCTCTGGATAGGAAGTAAACTTCTTCCCTTGATATGGGAAGAAAGGAAGCAAAGTGGTTAACATGGAGAAGTTTGGATATAGGGGTAAAAGTAGATGGAGTTGTTGCCTGATAGTTTTTATCATGCCCATCATCTGCTTGGCAGAGAAGAGGCCATAATTTATTTTTATCGTATTTTACAAAAGCAGTGGCCTGCAACATATTGGAAAAACAATGAAATGGCCCTATACCAAAAAGTATAGGTTGAAAAGCATTATACTACACCACGAAGGCTAGAGCATGCCAGAAAAGGTGAGGCAGGATTGTAGACAGGAAAAAAATCAAGGTAGACTAAGAATTATAAGTTATGGATAGTTTGCTTATAGGAGAAGGTTGCCCAAGTAGGAATTGGGACTTGAGATAACAGCGATGTGCAGAAATTCACAGATTTCAAGGAAGCAAACCAGCCAAAAGTCTCAAGGAAGCAGGGAGAAGGGCCAGAGATCAGGCAGAGAACAGCAAGGAGGAGAGCTGAGAGCAATTACTCATCTGAATTTGCTACAAATAGAAAAATTAGGTTCCAGTCCTAATGAGTACACTCTTCATCTGATTTTACTAGAGAGAACACCCTACCCAGCCACAAGTGTGGGCCTGCACAAACCGGTTAATCCCTGGCTGAGATCATCAAATTGAGGACAGAAGTCCCTCCCCAACTGAAAGTTTCTATCATGCAAAAGTCTAGCACACATACCTTTTCAGCAACTGTGCGTATTTCAGTTCCGGTATATGTAAATTTGGAGTCACTCCTTTTGGGGATAAATTGGGGGAAAAAAGGAACTCAGGTTTGGAATATAAAAAGATATTAAAGCAAAGTAACAAGATTCAAAGTTTTTGCAATTAAACCTCAGGAGAGACAAAGGAAGAGTGACTAAGTACATAATCTGCTCAGTGGCAAAGCGAAATTCCTAGAATCCTGGGTATTAAGGAGGTAGGCTTGAGAAATACACATTCCGCTACGCTTTGAAATTTAAATAAAGGTAACCCAAAGCTTTTGCCTCCTCAAGCATTCAAGTTCCTGGGCATCTCTGAGATCATTGTAGGGTCCACCAGGGGGAGGCAGAAAGCCATTGACAATTTAGTCAAAGGAATGAGTCAATAGGGGGAAATGTTTCTTAATATGCTCATCATTTGCTGCAAAGAAAATTATCTGTATTTCATTGTCATTTTAGGAGAGAGAGAACATAAAACATATCAAGAAATAAAACAGAACATAACAGCACTGTACGAGTAAACAAAATTCTACGTGTAAGAGCTTTCACAGGTTCACTCATGATCTTGGTACTCCTACCCGTATTTTTTACAGAAGGTCATACATATATCAACTGAAAATTCTCCTAGTAGGAAGTAAGGTGGAAACCAACCTTCAGGGTTGGGGTGGAATTCAAAGTGTATCACTGAGGGAATTCCGGACTCATAATGGTAACTTAAAATATAAGTTGTACACAATATTGCCAAACTTGTTATAATTTTGAGTTAACAGTTACATAGAGATCAAAAGATATGAGTAAACAAATATAATCTTACCTTGTGTCATCATTCAACTAGAGTGGGAAAAAGCAGAAAACATTATTGATCACATTACGCTAGTTTGATGTACATGGATGTAGATTATACGAAACTTGGGTCATGTGTTCCCGTACACCAGCATGAAAGACTGGAGAATTCTTACTTCGGACTGTAAACAAGTAAAGGTCTATCTCCTCATCCTCTTTTGCTCCTCTCCAACACTTAACGCAGTGGAAACCTTTGCATCTTTGAAACCCTCTTCTCTGGTTTTCTGATACACTTAGAAGGCTTCCCATAAGGAAGACTGGAGGCGAGGCCAGGGGCCCTAATCATGGTTGGCTGCTTCCTAATACACCGGTGTCCTCATTATACTACAATGTCTTTACGGCCTGACTTGCGGTTTTGGTCAATGGGGTGATAACTCCAGATCTAGAGAAAAGCCACAGACTGTAAGAGAAACTGCAAGGCCCACCCGGAGGATTATGCAGATCGCTGGGGGTTTGCGGGAGGCTAAACAAGCGTCCAGAGACAGACGAAACAGGGCCCCCACTACCTGACCATCCAAAGGATCCAGTCCAAGGATCCAGGTCGGAGGTGCCTGTAGCCTCCGCAGCCCTGGGCGCTGCCAACACCCACCCCGGGTACACGCTGCGACTGCTCAGCAGGGTTCCGATCAGACTAACTGACCTACTCACCTCCCCTATACACAGCCCCATCACCTCCTCCTTCTCTGTGCTCAGAGCGTGGTTGAGACAAACTAGGAAAGCATCCGACTCCAGATGAACCGCCTGCACCGCCTGTACCACCTGCACCGCCATCTTGGTCCGACCCTGCTCACGTCCGCCTCGGGCCCACTCCGGGCCTGGCCAACCGGGTGCTCCGGAGCGCGGGTTCCGCGGGGGCGGGGCTTGAGGAGCGCGGGCGGGGCGGGGCGGGGCGGTCGGAGTGGGGCGGGGCTCGAGGGGGCGCGCGGAGGCGGGGCGTGGGGCGCGGGGGCCGGGCGGGGCCGGCCCGGCGGCACCTGGGAGACGCCCGCGCCGGTTGGGGCAGGCGTGGCCGTGGGGCGGAGGGCGGTAGCCGGCCGCGGTCGGGGCGTCAGGCCGGGTGGCGGGGTGGGCAGGGAGGCGGCGCTTGCGGGTCGTGGGCCGACGTGCTCTGTGAGCGGCGCCCCGGCGGCCGGGCTGGCGCCTCTCGAGCGCCCGCGCCCATTTTGCCCGCCCGCTGAAGAGAGCCGTACGCGGCCTACACGCTCCGGGGACAGCCCTTTAAGGCGGCCTCGCCGCGCGCGCCGGCCTCCTGAGCCAGGGGGGACGCTCTTTTGAAATTCGGTCCTAAGACAGTTCAGGTTTTATTTTATTTCGCTTTGTTTCCAAGTTACGGCCCCTGAATTTTGTACAACTCTCCCTGGACCACTTCCGGTTGCCGGCCCTCGCCTCATAACTTCGGTTCGGGTGACCTCGGCCCGGGATGCCCCTCGGCTCGCCCCAGGCTCACGTCCCGATCCTGGCTTGAGTGGCCCAGGGCGGGGGACCTGGAAGTTTTAGCCTCGCTGCTCCTGAGGCGGATTAATTAGCCCAAGAAACATTATATTCATGTGAGTAACCTCTTCCAGAAACAGTGCTATACTGTATCTGAAAAAGTATCACTCTTAAGCTTGGCTACTGCTATGTTCTACAAAGGCTTTTAGGTATCTTATGTGTTCGATACAGGGAACGGGAATGAGGGACTTCAGTTTTTATTGAAGGTCTCAGATGTATCGCAGTCGATATCCACAATATAAGTTTCCTCAGCTCTCCTTGTCTTGATGATATCAGACATGGTGAAATTCTATGTAAAAGTAATTTTCTTTTCAGGAATGTCAAACGTGCCACGGGTAAAAGTACAGATCTTTCAACTCCCAAGGTTAGGAATTACACGTGGATTTTAGGAACCATTCTAAATCAAAGAAAAATACATGCCGTGCCGCCTCCCACAGCCCTTCAGTGTTTATGTTTGTTTGATCTGGTTTTCTATTCCCTGTGCAGTGTTGAAGCCAGGCAGGCATGGCAGTACTGGAAAGGGAACATTCCCAAGATGCTACTTGAAGAGGTGTTGATGCTTTGCTCTTTTCTCCCAACTCAGTTCCAATCCAAGTTCCCCCACAAATACGGCCCGTATCCACTGAAATTATCTGTGACATATATACCAGCAACCTCCATTTTTACCTAATGCTTAAGGATCACATGGCACCTCTTTCCATGATTCGTCTTGATAATGATGAAGATTGGGCAAATCTTGAAGTGTGCGATTACATTGGACCCATCTAAATTTTCTCTTAAGTTTCAATTTTACACCATATATTATGTCCAGTTACTGTTCGTGGCTTGTATGCCCTGCCTTAATGGGACAACGATGGCTGTTCTCATTATTATGTTTAGTAATAGAATATTTTGAGTTTATAAAGTGCCTTTAGGCACCTTCAAGAGAAAAAACACCTTTTCTTTGTTGTTGCTGTTAGTCAATCTCAAATATCAGAACAACATTCTCTAAGTTTTATAATGCTCATGACTGCATTTTTTACAGTTCTAAATGTTTAATTGGAGTACAGAGAAAGACTATTAAAATTTCTGGCAAGCTTATTTTGTGCTAGACACTCTACCAAGCATTTATATACCTGTCTGTGTAAACAGCCCCAACTGGAATCAGACTCTACAACTTCCTACCTGTGTTGTGACTTCATGCAAGTTACCTAACTTATCTATGCCTTACTTCCCTCATCTTTAAGTGGGGGGGGGTGGGGGGTAATAACAGTATCCATCTAATCAGATGATAGTGAAGATTAAAAGAGTCAATATACATATATAATAAGTGCTAAATAAGTGCTACCATTATGATCAGTATGTTGTTTATTTCTCATTTTACACCTCAGAAAACAAGTGTAGAGAGGTTAACTTCTCCCAAGTCACAAAGCTATTAAGTAGCAAAATCAGGATTCATACCCAGGCCAGGCTGACTCCAGGGCGTGCGTTCTTAGTAACTTCACCCATTGTAATTAAATCAGTTTATTAATTCACTTCAAAGAAAGTAAGTATATTCAACTGATTAACGTTTAAAAATTGTTCAAACACCTGGAAATTGAAGTAAATTATATTTTTCTTAAGGAAACCTTTCTATGTTGTATATCGTCCGTTTAAAACATAATTTATGAAATGCCTTACTAGGAAGTAGTCTGTCTAGGTCAGTATGGTCTCTGGCCATGACATCAAGGTGACCCCCCATGGGGACAGTCGGCTTTAGCGCCTTACTGGATGATAAAGCCATATAAGCACTTTTTGAATCCATTTGAATTTGCAGATGGTAGTTTTCCTTTGCGTTGAGTGGAAGAGGTTTATGTTGTGTATTATATTCACGTTGTGCCTGAGTTTATCTTGAGGATTTAAGAGATTCATCTTAGTTCAAGGGGTTCTGAATTTTATGAACAAGTTTCGTGTGCAGAAAAATGTTCTCTAGTCAAATAAATTTGGGAATTGTTAAAGTTTCTTTACTGTGTAACTTGCCAGAACTTTTACTACACTAATAAGCTTTATGACTATAAGATTCCTAAACTTATTTGACCAAGGAAAAAGTCAGGGGCAAGTGTTCCAAGAATCACATTTTAGGGAAATGGTTTGCAATTTATACAATCTATGATTTTATGGTCCTTCATCTTAATCTTAGTCATTCAGCCTTTGCTTTTCTCCGGTAAGGATGTTGTTGGTTCGTGCTCATATGGCAGCATCTCGGTGAGTGGTAGCACACACAAGTCCAGGGTCATGTGCTGGAGTTTGTTCCCAGGCTCATCCTACTGATGCCCAGCATGTTGGCCTTTAGGTCACAGCAGCACATCACACTGCCTTTCTTCTGAGAATATTTTGTAGTGACTCATAGGCCTCTTTGTAGTAATTCATAGTAACTCAGACTATCATCTCCAATTTGTTTGCCCTCTCTACCACTGGAATCATTTCCTTTTAATGTCAGTGTAACCAGTAAAATTTTGCTTTTCATTCAAAACAAATTTAAATGTCAATATATTAGTTGTTGTCTATCTGTGAATGGACCTGTCTGTGAAGGTGAGATGGTACTGAAACTCTTAACACTTGGTTTCTATTTTTTTTTAATGGCCATACTTATTTCTTTTGTACTCAAAATCCAGACTTTAATAAATATTTTTTTCACATTAGTATTTACTTGGTTTTTGTTTGTATCTCTCCTTTCCAAAGCCCTGGGGAAAAGGAGAGGCAGAACAATTGTATCTGCTAAATGGAAAAAAAATGGCTTTGAAAAAATATATAGTTATATAATATACCTAGAGGATCAATCTCTGCCCATGTATGTGTGGTCTTTATCTGTTTCCTCTCTCTACCCAGCATACATATCCACTCACTCACAGGAACACTGACTAGTATTGAGACTTAGGGTGCCCAGTACTACTATATCATTCCTGTTATTGAAGAGCTTATAATACTGTATTTGAGGGGAGACAAGGCTTGTGAAATAAGCAAAGCAAATATGCAAAGGCAATTTATAATTAGAGGCCAAAATATGAACTTGAGCTGAGACATAAATGCTGCAGGAGTCCTAAGAGGCAAGAAGTTTTCGGAGAAGGTACCTGCACTCTGCCATAATAGTACTAAGATAAACAGAATGGCCTGTGGAGGCATTTTAGACAAGTAGAAAGCTAGAGCAAGGATTTGGAGCTAGAAATGGGCCTAGTATTTAGGGGAAAGTTTGTCTCAAATATGGTGGTAGTGGTGCTTGCTGGAATTGGTGACAGATAGGATGTAGCAACTGAAGAAGAGGAAGAAGTCCAAGATAAAAGTTTTGAGTCTGCAAGATCAGGAGAGGTGGTGTTGCCACTGAGAGAAGTTGGAATTTGGTGAAGGAGAAGGGGTTCTTCAGGTGAGTTTGAAATGAGAGAGCCCTATAAGATGGGAGCTTACAATAGGCTCGGAGTCAACTCCAATCAGGGTACAATGGGTGAAGCAACTATGATGCTCTTAAATTATCCACTGAAATCAGACCATTTCTTAAGTCTATAAAAGAGATCTACTTTTAGGGAAGGTGAACTAACAGTATTAAGAAAAAAAAAATCAAATTGTTGTCCTTGAAAAGAGGGCTTGGTTTAGCCCAATTAGTTCCTCTCTGGCTTTTTCCTGGGCTGTGTCATACTGTGTTCTGGCATCTCATTTGCTCTTGACAATCTCAATAATGGTTTAACAACCTCCCAAGATGTGCTGCAGTTCCTTTCCTACCTTAAGGCCACCCAATGAGAATAGGAGGCCTTTGTTTTGTGGGGCAGATGCCCCAGTGCTGTATCTGCTCTGTCAAAGGTAGAAATACAGTGAAACCATGCCATGATGCTAGGAACCAGGTACAAACAATTCATTCCTCCAAAATGCAGGTCAAGTAATTGTGAGGGCCTGAAATGAGATCCAGAGCTAGGCAGAAAATCCTTATGGGCTTAGAGCCGAATCTGCATTATGGAAAGAGTTTGCCCAGGAGGTTTGCTTCCTTTACACCTCTCAAACGGCAGAGGGGTTTTTCTGGCCTTCTGACTTGGGAAATCAGAATTTAAATGCACACCTCTGTGGAAAAATGGGTTCCTGTGACATCCTGAAGCATTATCAAAATGAAACAAGGACCTAGATGGATAACGATCATTTGCTCTCAGCTCCAAATCACCATGATCCCCAAAGTCTTTTGCAGCTTCAAAATTCCATGAAGCTACCTTAAATATTTTCCTTAACATGAAAACCCCCTTCTGGAAATGCCCAACTGCTATAAGTAACCTTTCTAAGTAAGCTGATAAATAGGTTGCTTGTCCTTAAAACAAACTTTTAATTTTAATTTAGAAAGCGATGCACATAATTCAGCCTTCACAATCCTTTAAAATGGAATTGCTTGAAAGGGGCTTTTACCTGGGGAATATGGCACACATGTCCATTGTTGCCCAAATAAGTGCCTGTGCATACTCTGTTGCTACCTACATTTTGTCAGATGCTGCTTTGTGAGTGCAAAGACTGTGACACCACTGCCCAGCTTCCTGAGGTGCTAGTCCTACATTTCCACAGAACTCCCCACTGAGCTGAGGAGCTGAGTGCTTCACAGTCAACAGTTAGCATGACCTGAGGCTCTGCTGAGTGTCACTTCAGTGTCTTGCAGGGAGCTTCAGATGGCCTCGGCTCTATTTAGGCTGTGCAAGTAGACATATAAGAGTTTTTGTTCTGGTTGGTGGTTGCTAGTACCAGGTCACCTTGCTCACTGGTGAGTTCATTCAAACCCAAAAAGTCACACCTGTGTCCTGTGCGCGGGTGCTGCAGGCTTAGGTGGAGAAAAGCAGGGCTAGAATTGGAACCCAAAGCCCAGAATGGCAGGAGAGGATGTGGGGGCTCCACCCGATCACCTCTGGGTTCACCAAGAGGGTATCTACCGCGACGAATACCAGCGCACGTGGGTGGCCGTCGTGGAAGAGGTAACTGTTTACATTTTGCTTATTTTTTTAATTGATTTTGCTTTTAAGCAACTTGGTGTCTAACCAGTCCCAAAATCCTGAAATCTTTGCTTTTATTTTTGTCATTTTTTTCCCATTAGGAGACGAGTTTCCTAAGGGCACGAGTCCAGCAAGTTCAGGTTCCCTTAGGTGACCCAGCTAGGCCAAGTCACCTTCTTACCTCCCAGCTACCTCTCATGTGGCAACTCTACCCTGAGGAACGCTACATGGATAACAACTCTCGCTTGTGGCAGATTCAGCATCATTTAATGGTACCCATGTTGCTTAATCATTTTCCATTGTACTGGGGCTCTTACAACAGAGTACTCTATAAACTTTTCTTTTTCTGACAGGTCAGGGGAGTACAGGAGCTGTTGCTTAAGCTTTTGCCTGATGATTAACCTGGTATGTATTTCTATTTCTCCCCTGTTCTCCCTTCTTCTTTTTCACTGTATTCAGTTGTGGTGATTTTAATGATCTATTTTTTTTTCCAGGTGCTGGGATTCTAGGAAGATATGCTCCTCTGTTCTGTTCAGTATATGGCAATCACTTCATCCACCACTGCAGTGCACCCACCTGTGGGCCTGTGGGGAGGGAGTGGGTTGAAAAACTGCTCAAGAACACAGAAGCTTAGGAAGGGTCATGAAGAACACCACAAATGGAACTGCAGAGAGGGGGTTACGTAGGCAGAAAGCAAGTCAACAAAAGCACTTAGTCAGGATACGTAACTTGAAATTGACTCCTTTGGAAATTGCCATAGAACCTTTAATGGACATCATCAGCTGGAACTGGGATCTGATGAATCCCACAAAAGTCAGCACCTGCTACAGAACAGATGCCCTGATCACCAAGGACTTGGTACTGATTTAGAGAGAAGAGAGCAGCTCCTAGCAGCATCAACATCTATTTGTCGCTTATTTGCCCTGCAGCAATTCACCTGCCTTTCCTTCCCCCATCCTGTAAATATCCTAGGTTTTGCTCCAGTGTTTCCCCTCCCAGTACTGACCTAACTTGGATCTACTGAGAACTTAGGGGGCTCTGAAAAAAGAGGAGGTTATTTGAATTAATGAAATTAGCTGCAAAGGCTCCTGGGCCTTTTTCCTTTCTGAAATTGTGCCTTCAAATTATTAGAGGTTGCTAATCAAAATCGTGGGCACTTCAATTCATTCTCTGGTTACAGATATTTTAAATAAGTTAGTTTCTGTAAGAGCTCCAAAAATTATTTTAGCTGCTTAACTAGCACCTTTCTCAGGAAGTAATAGCACCAAATATTGCTGATTCCTAGGAAAGCATTTACTACCTGATAAAGAATTTTCTGAGTTAAAGTAGTCAACTGTTTATGTACATTAAAAGTAAGGTTTTACTTTCTAAAAAATCTTGGGAATCATAGCTACCATGTATTGAATCCTTACTGCCTTCCTTCCAGGCACTATTCTGTGCACTTTATATACTTTATCACACTTAATCCTTCCATTAATGCTTTGAGGTAGGTAGGAATGGTCCCCGTTTTACTCATGAATTATAAGGAAAAAGGCTCAAGGAGTTTAATCATTTACCAAGGGTGGTTCTGTGAATGATAGATCTGAGCAGTGGACAGGCCTATTTGGCTGTGGCATCGGCTCCTCTAGCCCACAATTGGTTTACAATATTCAAGATGAGGTGATTGAATTCAAGGTTTTATTTTCATGTAAAGCTATTTATGTCTTCCAAATTGAATGAAATGGATATTATAAAAATACAGTTGATTCATCCTATGAATGGGAAGAGTATTTTTTAGTGCAATTGTTTTCTAGCGTACCTGGTTGTCTCAGAAGAAAATTCCATCTAGAGGGGCTTTAAAGTCTTTATGGATAAAAGACAAAATAAAAATCATTTTTCTTATTTTAGTTTTCTGGATATGCCGCAGAAGGATCCGTGCCAGAAACAAGCCTGTGAAATACAGAAATGTTTACAAGGTAGTATGTTAAATGCTTTTTTATATTTTTTCACTTTATCTGTGAACTAACTACAAGAGACCAGTTTTTCTTTTTATCACAAATGATACGAGCTCCTCTCAAATGTAATATTTCTGTAATTATCCTGAAGATTTTTCTCATTTCATCAAAGATGCAGAAAATAAAAAGTGATATGATCCAAGCTTCATGTTTGCAATTCTGGTTGTACATTAGAATCACCTGAAGAGCTTTAAAAAAGCTCTTGCCTAGAACAATTAAATCAGACCTCCTGAGGACAGGTTCTGGGCAGGAATCAGTCTAAAAAGCTAACCAGGTTATTTTAATGTACAGCCAGAGTTGAGAATAAGCTGAGCAAAGTCCTTTTTTAAAAAGACTAGTTTTAAATGGGTTGGTTGTACTCCACTGTGGCTGACAACCCACTTCTTAAAAGCATTCAGGTTAGAAATGGGGGTTGAAATTACAACTGGAATTCAGGCTGCCAAAGTCAGCAACTCAGTCTTAAAGGCAAAAGCAAACTTCAACTAAAGCATATTTGATGTGATGTGTCCACTTGATTTTTTCCCCCAATTTGGTTTTAAATTGGCCAATAAGTTTGACCAAATGCTAGAGGATTTTATATTTTTTTAAATCAGCGAATGATTATTGGCAGAACAGACAGAAAAAGCTACAAGGCTTTCTGAACTTCAAAAGTGATGTTTTTGATAACTTTTCCCATTATTAAAGTAACAGAGATGGATGCCCATGAAAATATAGAAGGGTCTGAAGGAAAAATGTTAAGAATTTACCCAAAGATTCACTACTAAAGAAAACCCTTGTTTGTGTATTCCCTTTGACTTTTAACTTTCATTCTTAGACTTTTCATTTTATGATGTAAGCAATATTTCATAAAAATCTTAATCTAAAATGTTAATGTATAATGATAGTAATGCTACTTTATTCATCCTTTTCTTTCCTTCCTCCAAATTTAAGAAAAAGGAAAATGTTTTTCACATTTTCCCAAATAAATTCTTACCTTATTTGAATTAGCAACACATGGCTACAGTGTGGGAGGACTGAGGGCTGGAAGGACTAAGAGAATTAAGCACAGCCATAAGGGTTTTAAACATATTGAGTCATTTAATCCTTTCATCCATTAGGTGGATGCTACTATGACCCCCATTTTATAGATGGAGAAATTGACACAGAAGTTAGATAACTTGTCTAGGGTCACACAACTAGTTAAGGGGTACAGTGAGGATTTGAACCCTTTTGGTCTGGCTCCAAGCTTGGACTCAGCCAGTGCGCTGTATTCTTTCTAGTCAGAATTGGGTTTTTTTTTTAATCCTGGACTAACTCCCATGCACCCCATTTTAGCACTGGGGGACTCAGATCAACTGCAGCTGACCTAGAACCTTTAGGTCAAGTTCTCCTTGATTTAAGGTCTATGTATAGTAGGGGGTCTACAAAATATTTTCTGTAGAAGGCCAAATAGGAACTATTTTAGCTTTGGAGGCCAGAAGGTCTTTGTTGTAGAGTGTGTGGGTGGGTGTGTGGGTGTGTGTTTGCAACCCTTGAAAAATGTAAGAACCATTCTTAGCTCACAGCTGTAAAAAAGAGTTGAACTCTATCGAGGCTGCAGTTTGCACAGACTTGGTAGGGAGGTCCCACAGCCACCACTGTCTTAGAAAAGGGCACGTAAGCTATTAACTCAACCTTAAAGAAAAGGAAATTCATACATAAAAATAGCTTTCAACCACTTTGTAAATCATGCTTTATTTTTTTTCTAATTATCCTGTTGACTGGTCTGTACATCAGAAAGAGGTGGACTTGGGTACATCCTTTCTTCCAGGTCTGTAGAGTGGGAATCACTGATCTAAACTTCCCTGTGCCTTAGTTCTCTGAGATCATGACTGGGGTCTGCCTGTCTGTTTTTCAGCCAACAACTACATGGAATCTAAGTGTCAGGCTGTCATCCAAGAACTGCGTAAGTGTTGTGCTCGATATCCTAAGGGAAGATCTCTCGTCTGTTCGGGATTTGAAAAAGAAGAGGAAGAAAAGCTGACACTGAAGCCTACATCAAAGTAAAGTTCTGCTGAAAAGTTAAATGCTGCACCATGTATCCACCAAGCAAGTTTTGTCTTCCTGACTCTTTCTTCAGGCCAGGTAGCAGCAAATATCAAATAAAAAAGTCAACTATAAAAGTTAATGAATATGCCATCTATGCAGAACAGATAGACATATAAATATATTAAATATGTAGAATGTAATAAAACTGAGCTGCTAAAATAAACCTGTTAAGTGAAAAATTTTGGTTTGGTACTTGTGATATTGCGACTTATAAGACATATATATTTGGTCTTTATCTCCTTTCCTGGTACAGAGCTCCTAAAACTCTTGAAATTTCTTAAGTGATAAGAGTGATAAACGTGTCTTGTAACTTTAATGAGGTAACTTTTGGAAAGCTCCTAAGTAACCTGTGGATGGGGACTGGTTGCCAGGGGAACCTACCGTGTGATTAGAAGGTTGGAACTTTCAGTCCCCCACTCCCCCCCACCTCTAGGGAGGGGAGAGGGGCTGGAGGTTAAATCAAACACCAATGGCCAATGATTTAATCAATCGTGACTGTGTAATGAAGCCTTTATAAAAACCCAAAAGGACTGGGTTTGGACAGACCCTGTCTGTGGGACCTTGCCCTTTGTACCTCTTCATCTAGCTGTTCATCTGTATCCTTTATAATAAGCTGGTAAATGTGTAAGTAAATGTTTTTCTGAGTTCTGTAGTTACTCTAGCAAATTAATCAAACCCAAGGAGGATGTCATTGGGAACCTCAGATTTATAGCCAGTAAGTCAGAAGGACAGGTAACAATCAGGACTTAGCAAGAGGTGTTTGAATTAGGGGCAGTCTCGTTGGAGTGAGCCCTTAACCTGTGGGACCTGACACTAATTCCAAGTAGATAGGGTCATCACTGAATTAAGTTTGTAGGACACCTAGTCAGTGGCCACTGAGAATTGGGAGAATTGCTTGGCAGTGTTAGAAAAAACACAGGAGTACTAAACGTATTTGGTTTTTTTAGAAAAGATTTCATTTATTTATTAGAGCATGTGTGAGTGGGGAGAGTGGCAGGGGAGAGTGAAAGGGAAAGGGAGAGAGAATCTGAAGCAGACTCCGTGCTGAGCACGGAGCCCACTGTAGGACTCGAAACCAAGAGTTGGGGCACTCAATAAGCCACTCAGGAGCCCCCTAAATGCATTTCTTAAGATTATAGATATAGATGTTAATGAATTGTCTTTGGCATTGGAGTTTAGAGTACTGGTACCATTCATAAAACTAGTCATGTGTTAAGTGAAAAGATACCCCTCCAGTGCCACAATCATGATGCCTTTCATACATGCTAAATTCAAAGGTTTCTCTAACCCAACTCCGTACCTGTTCCATTTCCAGTAATTCAGAGCAAAGTGTCCTTCCAGATGCCAGTGAGAGCGTTTCTTTCCACTTTTACCTCCCCACCACAGTGCCTAGCCAGAAGACACTTAATATTTGTTTAAAGAGTGGTAGGAAAGGCCTAGAAATGATTCTTGTAATGTTTAACAACCCCTGATTTATGAGAAAACTGAAAAAAAAAAAAAAAACTTCATTGGAAGGCAGGCAGCAACAGAATTCTTAGGTGGTTTTTCTACTCTTTATATCCTTATAATCAAAACGTTACAGTGGATCTTCATATTAATACCAGAAGCCTGTTGACAGTTGTGACTTCATGTAGTGGTGGCAGAGTGACAGTATCAAACAGGCCATTTGCTTTCCTCAAACAGGTGCTAGAACCACTATCACTCCACTCTGCCCCAAAAAGAAAAAGATGACTTTCTAAGCGGGAGCAGAAACAAATTCTGATATGTCCTTGTGTTAGTCCATTCAGGCTGCTGTTAAGTCCATTCAGGCTTATAAACAGCAGACATGTTATTTCTCACGGTTCTGGAGGCTGGAAGTCCAAGATCAAGGCACCAGCAGATTTGATGTCTGGTGAGGGCCTGCTTCCTGGTTCACAGATGGCTGTCTTGCTGTGTCCTCACATGTTGGGAGGGGTGGGCAAGCTTTCCCGGGTGTGTTTAACAGAGGCACTAATGAGTCATGAGGGTTCAACCTCCATGAACTAATCATCGCCCAAAAGCCCCACCTCCAAATATCATCACCTTGGGTGTTATGATTTCAACATGAATTTTTGGGAACACAAACATTCAGTCACACAAACAAACAGTGAGGATCCTTCCTTGCCTCTTTCAGCATGCTAGAAAAAGCCTACATTGCCATGAATGGACTAACATAAGATAGTCTGTGATATTCAAATACCATGATTATTTGAGACCAACTCTTCTTTTAAGCAGCAATCCCTAAAGTGTTTCTAGGAATTGCTGTAAAAGGGGGGACAGAAGGCTTCTGTGGTCAGATACGTTTGGGGAATGCTAGATTAGACATAAGTTAACAGGTTTCTCTCCTGTAAGACTTCAAAGCTTTCAATATACTACTGTAAACCATGTTTCTTTGAAAAGGACTAGTGTATGCAGTACTTGCCAAAGTGTACCCATTTTGCAGACAGCACCTCACAGGGTGAACGTTCCCCAGAGAGACTTGGAGAAACACTGCCTTAAAGATGTTTGGTCCACAAACCAAGGTAACCATGCTCCGTTCTCATGAAATCATTTAAATGAACTCTTGTGTTAATAGTGAAACGATTTAATCAAACATTTTCCAACTGTTTACATCATATACAAATGTAAATTACATTTAAAATTATCAATAGCAGTGCTAGGATTTACATTAGGAATCACAATATGACCAAATACATTGTTTTCCTGTGCTTTATTACAAAATTATTTTTATTAACTACTCAAGTTTCAGACTGTTTTAAAATTTTTTCCTATGGTATACTACTTTACTTAGGACTTTTAAAGCTTCAAATAAATTGTTCCTTCCTATCTTTAAACTCAGTCCCGTCTCAGTTGAAGTTAACACCTATTGGCAGACATTAATTTAAATCTGATTCTTCTCAGCTATTATGACACATAGAAAAATAAAATAGCCATCAGAAAAGCTCAACATTCATCCAGTGTTTTTTATGTGTTAGGGGCCACAGCACTGAATCTCAGTCTCCAGGGAGGAACTGGGAAGGTGAGAACTATCATCTCCTCTATTTTAGAGACTAAGAAGTTTGTAAGTGGGCTAGTGGTGCTAAGTTTAATCACTTGGTTAACTAGTGACTAAAAGACCTCAGTGGAGAGGGTGATATGTTGGGCCATATCCCACTACTTTTCATCCCAAAACTTCAGCATCCATTGATGACAAAAGCTCCTGATCTGCTATTATGCTAGTGTGACAACTCCCTTCCCTGCATCCACTTCCCACAACTCCTAACATTTAATAAACTGTACACTTTTGTGTTTTGTATCTGAAAGGCATCTAAAGTTGTATGGCATTTAACATAAAAGGCTTCAAAGTCCTGTTAAGTAGTCACTTGTTAACAGCAGAACTATAACTTTTTTAGCACCAGGTTCCAAATCTGCTTCAGTGGTTCTCAACCTTGGCTGCTCAGTAGAAACATACGAGGCATGTCAAAAACTCAGGCTCCCCAAAGGTACCCCAGACGAGTAAAATCAGTATTTAGGATGAGAGCCAGGTATCAGTAGTTTGTAAAATTCCATTGCTCTCAATAATCCTAACAGCATTTCTTACGATTTTAAAATCAGAAAGGTAGACAGTTTTGGTGAGTCAATAAGCTGACTTCACAGGTTTTTTTAAATGTGAAAAAAGTGCAACACTATCAATTTTCTTTAGGAAAAATAGTGCTCTTAAAATTCATGATTCCTTAAGAAGAACCAAACATCACACGGGGTGCCTGGGTGGCTCAGTCGTTAAGCATCTGCCTTCAGCTCAGGTCATGATCCCAGGGTCCTGGGATCGAGCCCCACATCAGGCTCCCTGCTCAGAGGGAAGCCTGCTTCTCCCTCTCCAACTCCCCCTGCTTGTGTTCCCTCTCTCACTGTGTCTCTCTCTGTCAAATATAAAATCTTAAAAAAAAAAAAAAGAAGAAGAAGAAGAACCAAACATCACAGAACATGATTTCTGGGAAATCAGGTCCAGGATTATATATTTTTTGCCCAATTTTCCAAGAGATACACTAACATTGGGTAAACGATCAAGAAGGCCCCATACCTGGACTTCATGACAAAGAAACCAAGCTGGTAAGTTGGTGGAAGCAGCAGAGAGGGCAGCAGTCTAATTTTGCTTACAGGGTCCAAAACTGGCCTTAAGTGAGTTTCCTTCAGAGAAGAAACTGAGATGATCATGAAACATTAATGATACTCAGAAATTTCAAATCCATCTCTATACCATTTCTTCAAGCAGAGATTTATTGTATTTTCCAAAACTATAGAAAAGTAGAGGTTTCAAATAAGAGCCCAACCATTAGTCATGCCCATCTTGCTGACAAATGCCAAACAGAAGGATGGAGACAACATTCTTGTAACAGTTGACTATACAGTTACTGAATTTTGATACCTTAAGCACCCACCCCAAGAATATGTTAGCTAGAATTACATAAGATTCATTCCTTCTAGAATACTGTTCTCCAACTTTATTCATGTCCTGTCTTCTGCCATCATCCATGAGATAGTAACTGCCCAGGTACAGTAAGGAGGGCTCTTACCCAGTGGTAGGGCAGGTGGGGGAGTCAAGACCCCTGCTCTTTGATGAATGTCCCCAGGCTGAGTGGTAAGAGGCTGGAGCAAACATGAGGTCCAGATGGGAAGCAGGAGGAAAATGTTGTATGTTAAGACAGTGACACTAATGACTATGAGGCTGCTCAGCAATGAGTACACAGAGCCTTAGGGAGACTGACAACACTGGAGTCTATTTTTTGAGACTGAGAGGGCAGCAGCCCTAAACTGACACCAGGGTGAACTTTAGGGAGAAGGAACTCAAGCATTATAGCTCTGCTGTATCGGGCCCCATGTCCCAATCCTGCCCAGTCCCATCACGGGAGCAACAGTTGATCAAAGGGTGGTCCAGAGTCACAAGGGCACTGGGAGGGGCCGTGGTGGCCTGGCAGGGGACAGAAAGGGTGCAGTGGGGTGCTTGGGGGCAGGGTGGCAAAGGGGAGAAAAGCCTTGCAGGTGTTCCAGGAACCAGGTGTGGATGTGTTATGTCAGACAACTCAGCGTCATTGGAGTTTCTTCCAATTTGGGCCAAGCTACAAGCAGAGAAGGCCTGAGTGTGGTGTTACCACAACCCTGCCATCAGGGGGCGCCAAAACCCTGAACACGCTGGATACCCGTTATTCAAGGAAAAACTGCAGTCTCTTCAGCGCCCCCCCCCCCCCCCCCACTAAAAAAGAAGCCCAGCACATTATTGGACTCTGGGTACTAGAGAAAAATATGTGCCTCACTAAACAGGCCTTGCTAATCAAATGAAAATGTTGCAGTCATGGGTGCAATTGCCTGGTCCTGGTATCTTGGTTTTGCATGAAGGGTTGGCAGCTAGCTGTTCTTTTGGGAGAAATCTTAACCTCCCCCTTCACCATCTCAAACAAAGCTGCTGGCAAAAGGGCCTCAATTGATAAGCTCCCCTAAATGCCTGCGCCTACTTCAGCTCAGCTGAAATCCGACATATACACCAGAGCACCACACAGCCACAAGTGGTGGGCAGAACTCAGGACCATTCTCATGGCAGCAGCATGACACCAACCTGCAATACTGACCTTAACCATGCACTTCAGGGTCCCAGAAGCAGCCACCTTGGAAGAAACTTCAGCAGAAACCTAGAGATTTTATTTCAGTCTATTATCTATTACAACCTGCTGAAAGCTTAGATTGATCTGCTAATGTCTGTTGTCATTGCCAATAATCACAGGCAACTCCCATCCCATTAGAGAGGCATCCAATGGCCACTCTTCCTGTCATGCAACCCAAAGGAGCACAGGACACGTCACTTAGGTTTTACGGTAACCATTCCCTTGGGTCAAGTCATCAAAGAGCTGCAGCCTTGATTGCCATATATGACATAACCCAGGGACCCAGGCATCAGACGCAGAATGTAGAAAACTAAGGAACAAATAACTCCATGTCTTTAATAACTATATTGCAGGCCAAAAAAAAAAAAAAAAAAAGGAAAAGAAAGGAACATACAAGATTAAAAGAGACTTAAGAGACCATTTGAATGCAATGTGGGTAGACCTTATATGGATTTTGATTCAATCAAACCAAATGCAAAACACTTAAGAGACAGGAAATCTTGAAAACTGGCCGGATATTTGACGATAGTAACGAATTACTATTAATTTTTTGGTATGATAGTAGAGTATTATATTTATGATTTTTAAAAACAGTTCTTACCTTTTAGAGACACATACTGAAATATAATGAAATGATACATTTTGTATTTGTTTCAAAACAATTGATAAAACAAGCTCTGATTTGATGGTCATTGCAGGTGGGTGATAAATATATGAGGGTCACTATACTTTTCTCTTAGGTATGTCTGAAAATTTCCATAATAAAAAGTGAAAACATTTTAAGTTCTTACACAAAAATATGCAACACAGAGGCTCATAGCATTATGATTTGGGGATGGTTTGTACATATTGTAAGCAAAATAACTTACGTTGCCTTAAAATGAGGGAAAAAATGCAGATAGATGAAATCTAAAAAGTTCCACACATCCATTGGTAGCTACAATTTCCAAATTCAATCCATTTCTTCCCAAGTTAAAAGGCAAACATTTTAAAAGAAGGCCTTAAAAACATACATTTTGCAGAGATCACCTGCAGGTTTAAGAATTAATTCTAAGTTTCCCGCATTCTCAGAACTTAAAGTCTCAAATAATTCTTTGGATCAGTCCCTTTTCTGGATACGTTTATTATTATGAGGTCATTAGTCATGTATTCAACAAATCCTGAATACCTATTAAGTGCTCAGTTCCATGGGTGAAATGGTGAAGACACAAGCCTTACCCTCCAGAAGTGGATAGTCTAGCTGAGGTTGCAGACATGGTAAGAGGCCATGACAACAAAATGTGCTAAGATTCTAAGCATGTGTATCTATAAACTTTTAAAGAATAATTCTAAGAGTTGGGGCCACTGTGAGACAGCAGAACGTTTGATGGTGGAAATAATTTATTTCACGCATGCTATTGCTACTGTTCTCAATTCTGAATGCCTGGAATGCCACCTCTTTAAAACTCTGGCTCAAATGTGAGGTATTTCATACCAACTAGATAAAGAAATAGATCTGGCACAGAGGAGCCATGGCTATCCCTAATGTTTTGACAAGAGGTAAATAATACTTAAAACCTTTTCTATGAAATAAAAATCCAACAGCTTCTTCCCTTTCCTACCTAAAGTCACTTATTTTACCATGAAAAAACCCTTTGGAAATAGCCATGAGGAAAGCATCCCTGGATAATATCTTAGTGTCCCTAAATGATTCACTAAGTTTGACCATCCGACGATATATCTATTAGTTGGTCTCCCACCAAACACAGTACCTTTAGCTCAGCATATATACCTTTAGCACAAGTTCATTCCATATTCAGATTTTTCAATTATAGTGCTTATACTGCCATTTTTGTCAGGATAATTACAGCAGGTATACAAATAGCTCTCTTTCTGTAATCTAAAACCAACTGAAAAAGAAAGCAGACACCAAGATAACAAGTCTTTCATGCTTAAAGACAAATGTATTCAGTTCCTTTCCATGCAGCACATAAGGTATCTATATGCTTGTGATTTCTTTTCCAAATCAAGTTTGGGACAACCTTTGAGGATCCACTCATCCTCCAAGGTGAGCCATCTTATATACCATGCTCTGTTAAGTATCTTATATGGGAGGGGGAAAAGAACACTTTTGCTGACCTACAGGTTAGTCAAGTGGGGAGTGTGCTGGGAGAACAGCTAATGTCTATGGTCTCTTCCGTTGCCATCAAGTTTACAATAGGGCCTTATCAACTTGTACCAACAGATGCCTACAGAAGCCATTCAGATATGCCACAGCAGAGAGGAAGTCATGGAAGAAGAGGAGCAGCAGGAGAGACTTGATGTCCTATGATGGAGTGAAGAGGCTGCTGGTTTGGAAAAAAACAGGAATAATGAAAGTGAAGTTGTCCTCCTTAGGATGCCATGCCAAGCAGAAAGCCTCCGAAAAATCCCCCAGTCACTAGAACGTTCTTCTTCACAAATGACACTACCT